TAGCCTGCATAAAAATTAATAAGTTATTCAATATTTACATTGGCCTTAACTGACAAAGTACCTGCGCTCCATTTAACGCCAATGGTGTAAAGTGTGCTTAACTGGCATATTGGAATGCGTGTTGAATATTTAATGTTGACGTTTCGGTTGGATGGGTTTATGTCGATGGTTAATCTACTTAAGTCATGCCTGCGGCGATTTCACGGTCGGCTTGAAGTAGATTGGTGATAAACAATGATGGCTGCCAGTTGAGTTGATCGCAAGTCATAACAAAGAAAGACTTGTGTGAATTTAGAGTCTTAGGTTGTTGTTGTTGTTGTGTATTCTCAGATCCGTGAGGTGTGTTCACACAGAAGGGATTAATAAATAATCCACGGGATATATTTAAGGTGTTGGGGATTATAGTTTGATACCCCACTCGCCAATACACACATTTAATATGTGTGCGATATGATTAAGTGTAAGGTCAGACTGACACAGGGAAGGTAATTAAATAACTGTAACTTTGTGTATTGACCTGCTCTATTTATAAACCACAGGAGAGCATTTCTGATTGGACCGTATGTATTAATAGGTGCTATTTTTATTCCCAAGTCGTATCTATTCCCAGATCGTATCTATTCCTATGTCGTGTTTATTCCAATATCGTTTATGTTCGCGATTATTCTATAATTTATTCCGAGACAGTAAGGGGCGGGGTGGAGATAGCGTGTGTTGTGGAGGTAAAGGGTGAGGAGTGGTGGTTACTTTGTAAAGCTTTCTCTGATGTGGTTATCCCAAAAGTAGCTTTAAAAGTTTCATTTCGAACCTGACAGTCCATGTGGTAAGTGGAGTAGAATTCACCTGCTTCAGAAACCTCGACATATGAAGGAATAATATGGTCAGCACTATGCCCAGCCGCTTTTACTTTCCCTAACGTGAGTTAGGTACACATCAGAGGTGGGTGGACTCGTGGACGCTCTTCTGACACAAACCCGGGATTCGACCTCACGACTTTCAGTTTAGCAGTCGTATGCTCTACCATCCGACCACGCCGTCTCACAATAACTTAAGCCTGCCGCAAAACTTGAAAAAAAAAAAAAGAAACAATATTTTTACCTTCTTTGAACTTGGGTGAAATGGGTGACGATAATTTATCGCCCCCTAACCCCCCCCCCCCCCCCACACACACACACACCTCCAATTCAGTAAGGTTCAACCCCTTACACCAGTATACCTATACGAAACTTTTAGAATAGGATCTTTCCCTCGATCAAGCAACGATTGTGTGAAGAGCAAGCTACATACTTATTGTACATTGTATGAAGTTAACGCTGCGGGAATGAAAATTGTTTTGCTAAACTTACTCTTTATACTGGTCTAAACAGCACAGCACTACTCTAGCCACAATATAGCCTTAATTATAATCGTAATGCAGGTAGTAACACAAAGCTTGACGGCTTAGCGTTAACCATTACCGAAGACTGAAGCAGAACAGCGACCCTCATCTGAATTGTGACCCCCATCTAAAATAAAGAAACCCACACGAAACCACTTCACTGACCCCAACTAGAATAAAGAACCCCATATGATACCACCACCGACCCCCAACTAGAATAAAGAAACCCACACGATACCACCACCGACCCCCACTAGAATAAAGAACCCCACACGATACCACTTTGCTACCCCCCCCCCCCCCAATAGAATAAAGAACCCCAAACGATACCACTTCACCGACCCCCACTAGAATAAAGAACCCCACACGATACCATTCACCATGAGGGAGATGGTAAAAGTACCATGACACGAAGGGCGATGACTCTGCTATGTGTCAGGGCTGACACCTACCAGTGAGTCAGGGAATGCGACACGGTGAATCTTGCAGGGGAGATAAGTCGGTAGGTGAAATTTTAAGCTGTGACTTGACAGTGTGGCCTGTTATCTCCCTTGCCATGTGGTGACTCTCCATAATACACTATTTTTAATGTGAATCTTAACACAGTGCTCTTTTATTAGATGAGATTAAATAACTAATTAACTTACTTATAATCTAAAAAGCCATACACAAAATAATAATTTAAAAACGGGTTATTAATAAGCTTTTATTGATGAAATAAAAAGAACAAATTAACGGATTTTCTTTCATAATTTAAATAACTATGATGAAAAACGTGGGTTACTTTTTAAATTTTAGTAGGGACATTTAAAACTTAAAGAACTCTGGAGAGCTGTAGTTGGTGGCCCATACTCCAGCAGGACAGAGAACTTTAAAGCTGTAATTTGTGGCCCATACTCCAGCAGGACAGAGAACTCTGGAGAGCTGTAGTTGGTGGCCCATACTCCAGCAGGACAGAGAACTCTGGAGAGCTGTAGTTGGTGGCCCATACTCCAGCAGGACAGAGAACTCTGGAGAGCTGTAGTTGGTGGCCCATACTCCAGCAGGACAGAGAACTCTGGAGAGCTGTAGTTGGTCCATACTAATGCAGGACAGATAGCCTACGTCTTAAAAGAGCTGTAGTTGGCTGCTAATACTCCAGCAGGACAGAGAACTAAAGATTTTTACTAGTCTCAAAATTATTATAAGCTTTTATTTAGTTAACAATGTCTGTCAGTCTGTCTGTGTGTCTGTCTGTGTGTCTGTCTGTGTGTTTGTCTGTGTGTCTGTCTGTGTGTCCGTCTGTCTGTCTGTCCGTCTGTCCGTCTGTCTGTCTGTCTGTCTGTCCGTCTGTCTGTCTGTCCGTCTGTCTGTCTGTCTGTCTGTCTGTCCGTCTGTCTGTCTGTCTGTCCGTCTGTCCGTCTGTCCGTCTGTCCGTCTGTCCGTCTGTCCGTCTGTCCGTCTGTCCGTCTGTCCGTCTGTCCGTCTGTCCGTCTGTCTGTCTGTCTGTCTGGTTTGTGTTAATATCTATGAAATCTTTAAAAACGACATATCTTTACATTGTTGTCGGAGACAAACGAATCTGTAAAGTTTGAATGAACCGCTGCATTCAGAAGTGGGTCGGAAATGAGTTACAAGATTTCCCATAAACAAACAAACAAATTAATAAACAAACATAGTAAACTAAATAAAAACTGATAATAAAAAATAATCTCACGTTTGTATTTTCCCGTCAGCTTATGAACACTCTTGAACTAACAAGCGGTCGCCCATGTTCCTGTATCCGACATAACGAAAGCTGACCTATCAATCATAACTGTCAAGGCTACCACTGAAAATCCGTCGGCAATTATTTTACCTTCGGACTGAAATCTAAATTAATCTAACACGGTTTTCTAAAACAGCCTGTCGGAGTAAGACGTATTCTTCCAACTGTGCATATTGTACGCTTCTTATACAAAGGGAAGCAATCAGGTAAAATGTGTTTGTTTTGTAGTCTATCATGGGTTATCTAATGTAAAAAAAAAAAAAATTTAATGCATTTAGTTTTTCGTGTAACTATAAAGCAATTTCCAATTTCAAGTTGATAGCAAATATTTTATTATGAATGAGAGAAGCGTTAAATAAACATATTAAAATTTTTTAAATGTAGTTTTTATCATAGGCAGCGGAATGCGTCATAGGTTAACATAAGAGGCAGGCATCACTTGTATAGAAATTATAACTAGTGTATAATTACAGAAAATTAACTGAAAAAAAGCACACCACACTGATAATTTGTTTTATTCGAAAATAATATTAAAATAAATATTCCTACCTACGCCCATAATGAAACAAAGATACTTATTTTTTTTTAAATAAACATTAATGTTATTAATTGACTAACCGGTGTAATTGCGATACGATAGAGAACTTAATCATGTGATTAAACATTACATATTGGGCACTGTCAACTAAATTGCTGACTCAATTCTCATAAATGATACATATAACACTAACTAGTGCATACTAACAATACTTTAAATGTATTTACATTGGTTTTTATTTTTATTACCCTATTAGCGTTTAATTTTTTTTACAGTCAAATTATTTCTAGTAACATAGTTCAAGTTGACTTTCAGAAACAAAAAATAATTATGACCACATCACGAGAAAACAAATATGTAAGGCATTTGTTAAAGGTAAGTAACTCCATTTATATTTACATTCTAAATAATAATTCAACTTCGAAAGTTTATTGAAAATTGCTAGTGAGTACAGTTTTTGTTAAAAATCTTGCACAAAACATTTAGCGCTGACACAATCAAAAAATATAGAATGACAGCTGTTTGTTATTATGATTAATAAACCGGGAGTTATCTTCCCTAAACTTTCTCGAATATTCTAATATAACACTACGTGGGATGGTAACTCGGAATAAAGACATGATTTTTGTTTACTTAAACTTTTAAAAATAGAATAAAATCTAGTAGAAAAAAGAATTGCGCACCAAGCGAACGCCAAAACAAAATGTGCATAATAGTGCGCAATATTATTAGTACTTTAAAAATTTACATTAGTTTTTTGAGAAATCAGAAATAGTGTAAATTACTACTTCCGGTCAACGGAAATTACTCAAAACGTGAAGGCAGGTAGAGAATTGAAATTTCATTTATCTATCTGAAATAGTACTCAAGTTATAGGCTTTTGAAAAATTCAAAGTAGAAAAAGTACCACTTCCGGTTATCGGAAATCGCTCAAAAGTTAAAAGGGATCTACGATTTTGATAAAATACTTATATATGAAATTTCATCAACCTAGCTCTAACGGTACTCAAGTTATCGTGTTTACACACACACACACACAGACACACAGACAGACACACAGACATACGGACAAGATTGCAAAATTATGTTTGTCCTTATCAGTGAGGTGTAAAACATCGAGATTTGTAAAAATCTCGATTTTTTTTTTTGCACGATTACAAGACTTTCTCTATACTTCGTATATACGAGAAAGTAAAAATTACCTGGATACCCTATGTAATCATCATTAAACGAAAATAATTGAACAAGAGAAGCAACAAAACATGTAAGCCTTAAAAATAAATACCCATGCCCTGGATTCTAAAAAAAAAACGATCATCTTTGAAACAGCTGAAAGAAGATACATAAGGACAAGCAAACCTCTAACAATTTTACATACTAACTTGGGAGTCCTTTATTTTTTGAGATTGTATCGGTGTATTGTGTATTGTGTTATTGTATTTTAATGTCTATTATTTTCTATTTGGATAAAACAGTTAAATTATCTTTAGCCTTATGTCATCACTGGTGACACGCCTCTACACCTATTGGTGACACCTCTACACCTATTGGTGCCACCTCTACACACCAACTGGTGACACCTCTACACCTATTGGTGACACCTCTACACATTTATTGGTGAGACCTCCTGATGACAAAGCATGTAAAGTTCTTGAGGTGCTGGGCGAAGCACGACTTCATCTCCATGTTCTGGGGCGGGATGTTATCTGCAGACCAGAAGTCGAAGCTCCTTAAAACGGAAGTGGTCATGAGAAACAGCTCAATGTTGGCCATATCCCACCCAACACATGACCGCCTGCCTGTTAGAATATATATATATATATATATATATATATATATATATATATATATATATATATATATATATAATAAAATATTGAATTCTGTGAATTCTGTATGTATGTGACCGCGAACCACGCATACGAAATATATATGAGAAAATAATAGAAGTCATCGTCATAAAGTTATACGTCTAAAGTGCTCATCGTCTGAATTAATTTTTTTAAAAATTAATATTGTAGGTGTTGTAAAACAATTTTTCAAACTTATAGTGATAATTGTCGGCATGTCCGTCAAACAATTTTTTTTTAAAAATGTATCACTTTTCATAAAAATTCTAATTGTGTCTGAAAATTATTTACATTTAGTCCTTTAGCACTAATTACTTCCCTTGATAAATTATATATATATGTATATATATATATATATATATATATATATATATATATATATATATATATATATATATATATATATATATATATATATATATATATATATATATATATATATATATATATATATAATTGGCCTGCTTTTTAGTAAACTAATAACGACACTCACCGAACCCGTAGGGCCGATAACTGTGAATTTGTTTAATTTTTCCATCCTCCAAATGGCGCATGGGATCGAATAGCTCCGGTTCTGTGAAATACTTTTCGTCCCTGTGCACGCTACATAGACTGAAGGCGCCGATGGTACCTTTATGGAGAGTGTACTCGTCTACCTGCAAACAGGAAAGTGGAAGCTGTTGTTTTTTGTTTCTTTGTGGTTAGAGTAATTTTAAGAACACCTAGGAGTGTCGGTTGTTTGTGAGTTGGGTCGTGCGTTATCTTTGTCCAAAGATCAGAGCGCTGATAGATCTATTTGGGGATGTATAGGTGGGTCGATGTTATTGTTTGAAGATGTATTAGACTATCAGAGTATCAATGTGCGTACATATCAGTATACTGATGTGTTTGTTCTCTTTGTTGAATTTTGCGTATTTACCTATCTGCTGATATATCAGAGTGCTGACATATCTATTTGCAACTGTATCGTTGTCAGAATAGAATATCATAGCGGTCATTTATGTGTGCATGTATCTAAGTGATGTTCCTATTTATGGTGCATTATAATCTTAACCTATAATCTAACAAGCTTACAAATTATAATAAGAAAACTAATTATGATTATATGTATGATTATAAGAAACAAATACCACTCTGCGTCTAATGATAATGGTTCTTATAGTCACTTGCTTAGCTTAAGAGTTTATTTTTAAACAGTTCAACGAACAGTTTTTCACCAATTAGTCTCCTTCAGAGTAATCAATATAATTTTTTTTAAACGATTCAAAGAAATTTTGAGATTTTCTCAACAATCTTGATGACCTCTAAACTATCTCAAGTTCTAGAATGAGTAGGCCTGTTATATTCTAACCTTATATCAGCGAAACGTATAGGTTTCATGAGTTGCCGTGGTCGGACGGGAAATCTCAAGGCTGCTAATCCGTAAAGTCCCGAGTTAAAATCACCGAGATCGGTACAGCGTTATAGCTGGTAACAGCAACCAATCTAGATGAGAAAACTCCGAAATCGAACACAAGTAAAGCCCAATAGGATTACTAGCTCTGGTTTCCTTTCGGCAATTTCTGCATCCAAAGCTGGTACCAAACGTATAGCTTAAGATTCCTTTAGACCACGGGTTCCCAAACTGGGGGGGGGGGGGGTCGCCAGCTGGTATACTAAACCTTAGCAATGAGAAACAAAACATTAATATTTAGAAGAATATCTGAAATTCGGCTCTACTAACACCACTGGCAATTGAATAGAGATGAAGCAATGCGTACTGTGCAAAGTTGTTTTCAGTCACGAGTTTATGAAATCTTCAAAAAATTAAACGTCATTTGAGACGAGTCATTCGGAACACACCAAAAAAGATATGGAGGTCTTTCGTCGGCATGAAGCTAGTTGCAAACGTCAGAGACTTGATCGAACAGGAAGTTCTCACCAAGGAAACACAGCATTAGTGCAAGCATCTAATGAAGTCGCGATAGAAAATGCCAAGCAAAAAAAAAACCATAATTGGAGAAAATCTCATCAAACGCTGCATGTTGAAGATCGTGAAGTTCTTTGGGATTCCAATTTAGTAAAGTGCTTATTAATTTTCATACTAATTTAGGCTTTTTAATTATATGGGGGTCGCGGGTCACTTACTTTTTATAAAAGGGGGTCGCCACTAGAAAAATTTGGGAACCACTGATTTAGACTTTACCGGCAAGGGGACCACAATGCTTGGGAAATATCTATCTAATGCACCGGTACTGCATGTTGGATTTCTATTTTCTGAATTCACCAATTGTCTCAATAGGTAAAAAGTAACCAAACACGTTTCTTTAAAAAAAAAACATGAAGTCAAGAGACGCATGCGAATTTTGAAAACTTGTACTCACCTTCATATCCTGGGTCAGAACGTGAGGTATGAACGTGGGTACGACAACGGCCAGTCTCAGACCCTCTAGTATACACGCCCAGACAAACGGCATCTTCTCCTGCATGGCCCAGGTGAGGTCCCCGCTTCCTGCCACACGCTCCACTTCCTCCTGCGCTCTCTTCTGCTCATCCGGGTACTTGGAGAGGTACATCAGGATGAACTCGAAGGCAGATTGGACAGTGGTCACTCCAGCAATGAACATGTCGTTCAAGGTCATCACAAGTTCTGCCTCTGTGAGGATAAAATGGGTTCACCCATTCAATCACTAGCTAAATTATCCATCCCGCTTTAAGTGTGGCAAATATTTCTTGAAAGAAAGATTTAAAGTCAACCAACCTTTTTCTTCTGAAACTTCCGTAAACCCAAATTCTGTTAATAGCGAATAAATGATGGAAGATTTCACAGCCGCTAGTGCACCATCATCGGCAGCCGACAGAAGGCGAATTTCTTCAACCCATTTCCTAATCTCGTCCCGTAAGGTG